AACAAAAGGTTAGTAAAAATGTTTCACTTTGTGGAAATAATTCTGAGAAACCGAAAACTTTACTCACTTATTCCAACACGCATCGGAGTAAGTGAATAATATTCAACCGTGATGGGGAAACAAATACAACAAATCAGACCTCTTTTCAAAAGTAAATCAATACTTTCGAACCATGCAAAGCAATTAAGTTTAGTCCTATTTACTTAAAATGCAAATCTGAAACAACCATGAAGTACACGATGCGTTACTGAATGTGGAAAGGAGGGGCAGCTGATGTCGCCCAATAAAAGAAAATTTGAATAGAACAAAGCGTAAAAGGCAACAATTTGTGTAAGAGCAAATTAAATATTGTATCTGCGAGATACATTCGATATGGCTGGGTGGGTGGAAGTCGGGGATCCGAAAGGTCAACCTGGTATCATCCGCCTTCGCCTCCTCGACGATTGCATAAGCAGAGCCGGAGCAGAAGGAAGAACACAGACAGAAGCTCCAAAGATGTAAACAATATGCAAAACACGAAGGAGGCCAGAGCCAGGAAGGAGTCCAGGAATGCACATCACGAATACGCAGTAGAGTTCGCTACATGACTTTGCATATTGAGGAGCGGATGTGGAAGAACAAGGTCAGCCTCCATCAATTTAACATCAAATGTCCATAAATCCCGGCTGGGAACTCGAATTGGGAGTTTAGTATCTGCTCAGCATAAATGTGCAATAAATGTCGCAAAATAAATATTTAATAAACATAAGCGGGGGGCAAACGTGGATGGCAAGCTGCACGGCCAAATATTGAAATAAAATCTAGGCAAGAAAGGCACCCCCTGGACTCCCCCCATCGATTTCCAAGTCTCAATTGCGAGATAAATTTGCATTTGACGACGAGCGGGAAATTAGAGGGGAGATGCCTCATGCTATCAGCCCGACTTCCTCCGCTTATTGATCGCCCGGTTGACATTGCATCAATTTCAGGCGAAAGTTAACAAGCAGCGGCAGTAAAAAGCAAGTACATATTACTTACATACCGTACTGCAGGACTTAAAAGCTTTTCCCTGCTTTTTCTCATCACTTGTTTGTCTTTCGCTCTCTGTTTGTCGTCGCGTCTCGTTTCCTGAGTTTTCCTTCATTAAAGACCAGGAACGAGTTGAAACTTTCGGTGGAAAAAACTGCAAGAGCATCAGAAGGGGATTCCTCCATCAAGCATTAATTATTTACGTTTACGTTATTAAAATCCAATTCATATTCGATATTTTGAGCAACTTTTCTATACAATTAATTTATTTCCGACCCACCCTCGACTGGGGTAACACATTTTTATGTCACATCAGCGTATTGCAATCCGCTGCACATCTACCGGCCCTGCCTATGCACACTCATTAACACAACAATAAAGTACAATCGCCCCACACGCCCACGCATACGCCCACGTCCCATCCACCTCAGAGGGGGCGTGGACAATTAATGTGACTGACACACATGCAGATTTTGCCGCCGTTCGCGTTGTCATATTTGATTTACAGTTGCAATTTACGCACTTTCCGCAGGAGGAGGCTCTGTAGCAGGAACTGGACTAGGGATGGGATGGGAGTTGCTCTGGGGCTGGCCGACAGCTGTCCACGTCAGCATCCGGCTTCTGTTTGATGTTGTTAATTGATTTTCAAAGTCAACTGGCGTCCTCCAAGGGGAGGGACAATGCATTGCAATGGAGATGGGCGAGGACGAGGGTCCTCTGGGAGGAGCAGGCCTGCTTTCGCTTTCGCCACGCTCGGAGATTAGCAGGGCAGTGTAAAATGCATCTCCATTGAGGCGCAAGCGACATAAAACCAATTCCCAATCCGCATTCGCTGGACAATTTACAGACTGTGGATCCCGACCATGCTCCTCCTGTCTCTCCTCCTTCCCCTCGTTGAGCATTGTAAGTGCAGTGAAGCGCATTTACAGCTGCAAGTGCCGAGTGGATTTCGGAGTTGTTCCTGCAGTTTCCCTGCCCTCGTGGCAGGGCGGGGGCTGTGGGTTGTGGCAGGATCCGCAGGACTAAGGGCTCGTGTTTGTTTTATGTGTGGCAATTGTCCAGCGTCCCATCGACATGCAACTGTATCTGTTGTCTGCCTGGCATGCGGTTCAATCAAAGCGATTTTCAATGTCCACAAAATTTCGCAAAAGGACATTTTGGTAATTTCAACGATGTCACCCTCCGAAGTCAGGAGCGGACTTAGCCTTGTTGCGGTTTTCAAAACCCATTGAGGATCATCTTTACTGATTTTTGAAATGTTTCTGTTTGCCAAAGGTCGTTTGCCAATTAAAATGTTTAACACATTAATATAAATAGTTAATTAGGCCTGGCTTCAAATCAACAGGAACACTCCCTTTAAGTTAGAGGACTGACAACTGAAAGGTCTTGTTAGCAATAATATATTCGATTTTGTAAATGTTTAAGCTCTTCATTAGGTTCCAAGGTATATCAGACTATTCAATTAAAACATTTTCAACGATAGTGAGTTTAAGTATTGATAATTACTTTGGTAAAGGTAATGTAATCTAATCCCCCGTTGGCTAATCCCCATTTTGGCATATCTGTATTGAAAATATTATCTTTAAATCTTCAATGATTGGTTGCAAGATTATTAACAGCGCCTTATAACCTGTTAGAACCACATAGCTCCAAATCCGGCACACAATTTGAAATAAATATAAGTGGGGCTAGCAGGCGCCCAATAACCCCTCAGCTTAAGATCCGCCACTGGTCGCTGGTCCTGCTCTTGTTGTTGGTAATGAGTTTGGTTTTACTGTTTAAATTTAAACGTGTTCAGCGGAAGGGGGAGCGGGGCGAAGGGCTCGACAGCGGTTGGCTACAGTTCTAAAGTGTATTTGCATTTAACGCTAAATGCATTCCAATTCCAGCGGGGGAGGAGGGCGTAGATGGGAAAGTGGAAGGAAGGATGGATCCTGGCTGCGGGAGGGAAAACATGACAGTTGCATTAATTTTGATTGCGTAAATATTTTAAGTGTGCGGATTGCGAGAGCTCTCTCAAAAATGTTTGCCCAGGGCCCATTGCCTGGTTGTTTGGCTGAAGGGCGGTTGGTGGGTTGGTGGGTTGGGCCTGGAATTAAGTGATTGCAATTGAGATGAGCTGATTGTAAAATCTGGGTGAGCACAACTCGCTCCTTCAGCGAGGCAATGCATATTTAAAGTTTGTTGAAGGACTTGCAGCTAATGGCGAACCTCCCGATGCTCCTGCTCAGTTCGATGAACTCCTGAATGGAGTGGAACTCGAGCATTGGCAACTTTTCTAATTAACCCAACAACGGCAGTCCCCCCTCCACTACCCCGTTCCAGCATGGCCTTCCCCTTCCCAGCTGCTGCTAATTTCAGACACCAATAAAATAATTTAAGCCGCAAATGTTTGAGCGCGAAAATGTATGAAATCTATGGGCACGTAGCTGACATAAAACTTTCGGATGAATCTAGTGGTGGCTCATCCTAGTGTTCCATCCCTCATTCATCCGTTTTTCTCGCATGACGTGATAATTTACTTAACAGGCAACACGCTCCGGAGACAATTTACAAGTTGCAAACATCAAATTTTATGATGTCTAGGCCATAATTAATCGAGATTTGCTGAGGAGGTGACCGAGGATGGGGACTCGTTAAACTTAAGCAACTTCTTAATGAATATTAACCTAACTTAGCGCTTATGAATTCCACATTCCACTTGTTTTCCTCAGTTTCTTAATCCTTACCTGTCTCGGCTCTTTTTGAAATGCTCTTACTATTTATTTGCCCTTTGCCTTTGCCCCTCTCCCCGATCATTTGCCTTTGCCAGACCCTGTCTGACCTTAGCAGCTCAACTGCAATTAAACCTTAACCACATTATCTCCAGCTCCCGGTCTTCCCAACAGCCCCATAACAAGTTTTTCGCTTTCGGTCGACCGATACCGCAAAGTCTGCGGCATGTGGAGAATTTTCCCATAAGACTGCAATTTTGTCCAGCGAATTATTTAAAGGAGCACATCATCGCTTGGCTGAACTTTGGTGCAACAATACTCAGAGATGCCCTTTCTCGGGGTCTTATATTAATAGGTTTTGAGTTCTTACTCCCTTTGAACTATCTTTGGGTTCATGTTTCACAATAATAAGAAATATTAAATGAAATATATAATAAATATTTATCACACTCACAACTTTAAGTTACAAATTTGAAGCTTGTATGGTCTTGGGCTTAATTTCTAAGATAAATGTGCTAACAATCGATCTCTTATACGAATATCTTTTGAAGAGTATAAGAGAATCGTTGATTCTAGACCAACGCTTTGTGGCCTTTTCTCTCCATTGGCTAGACATCATCTGAATTGAGAGAGAGCGGGCATTATAAGGGAACAAAAAGCCAAACTGTCGACTGCTTTGCGGTGATAGCTGGAAATTAATTAAATGTCGCGGCGAATAAAATTAAAATAAAAACGTCGAAAGCTGCTTAGGGAGTACTTAAACGAAATGATAGCTAAGAACAGAAGGCCTTGGCTTATCAGGGGATATTAATAAGAGAATGGCTAGTCTTTCAAAAAACTTTCCTTTCTTGCAACTCTTTCCCTTTGGAGTCTCTGTCCTTGTTGCGTTTTCTTGTCCATAAGCAATATTGGCTGACTAGCCTTAGCAGCACAGAAATCCAACTTCTGACTTCCGTTCCAAAAGTTTTACTCCATTTCCGACTTTTAGATTCCAGCCGAGAAATTAATTAGTAGTTTTCAGAGTCACGTTAGAAGGCACAACACCCGCTTTGCAAAGGATATCTCTAGTTTCAATCTATTCTGTTTCTTCACTCTCTTTGTTTTGCCTTTGTCTTGGCCAACTCCAAGACATTCTGGCCATTTGCAACTACTTTCTGGTGGAGTTTCCGAAAGGGAAAGTTCCTTAGCCTAACAGGCATTAATTATGTATTATATAGAACGTGCACTAACGCTACAATTTCAATCCAAGAGGCAACTATATTTCTTTATCTCTTGCAGGTCTAAAGGATCCAAACCTGGACAGGCATACCAGTAAAGGTGAGTACCGGCACGGCATTCTCCACTCTATACGCCGATCAAAAATTAATTAAGAAGCCACTGGGGATGTAAATAGTCTGTAATGGCTACAAACCGAAACCAAAATTTGTGCTGCTCCTCAAAGCGACCGAGACAAAGGGCCGACCCACACTGGCTCCACCCCGCTGCTCGCCGCAATAACTATAAATTCCCAGGCCCAGGGCAACCACAAGACATCGCCGAGCCCCTCAAAACATAAACCAAGCGGCTCTTTAAAACGCAATCAAGCTGAAAATTAATTAAAATTTTCAAGCGGGATATGAAATTAATGCGCCGTCGAAGGGGAGAGGATTTCTCGGGGTATAGCGGGCGGTGCAAGGTAAATCCAAGGTTTAAATTAAAACACACTTGTTACTGTCTTAGACGCTGCCGTCTCCGTTGGAAGTCGTCGTCTCGATTTCATTAAAAATGTTTTTATGCTCGCATTATCCTTTCACTTTGGCGCACTTGCTCCGCCCTGCCTTTCCCTTTGACTCCTCCGCCAGGCAGCAATTTAATTTGGCTATGAAACGCTTGCCGCATCCTTGACACTTTCACTTTCCCACCCCTTTCCGGCCCACCTTTCTCCACATTTCCCAACCCCTTCCACTCGAGGCGATGGCTTGTTTTAAGCAGCTTAAGCTTGTCGTTGACATTCGCCCGTGCTGTTGTTTGTGCTGTAAAAGCGCTCATAATTTCACGCTAAACGAACACACACGCGTCCTTCAGTGTCCTGGGCTGCTCTTGGCTTTTACCGGAGCGATTCCAACCTCTGTTTCCCCGTCACTTGGCTCTGCCATCGAGCTGCTCGGGCACGGAATCACAGTTTTCCGGCGGGGATATCGCTGAAATGCAATAAACTTGAGTGCGGATTCGCTGAGAGCTCCATTTGGTTTAGCTGGCTATTCCTCGTGCCCCAAGAAGAGATCCAAGAAGGTTGGTTTCCCAGTGCCAATATCTGAAAAACGAATCATCGAATGTCTTGTGTGGGGAGTCCATCGATTCCTCAATGGCCGAGTGTATTGGAAAAAGTTTTTGCTGGTCCTCTGCCTCATACTCCAGTTCTGTAGTCCAGCTCCTTGGTCATCCCGCTGGCTGTTGTCTTTATTACATTCTGATGAATGTTGCGATTTGACTTACACGAGAAGCTAGAAAAGAAAAACTCATCGCATGCTCGGGGCCATTGAATGGATTCATTTCGGGGTATTCATATGCTTTTAACTGAATTAGTCTAGCCGGCTAATGTGATAAATGGATGCGGCTGCCAGGAGCGGAGGACTGGCGAACCCTTCATAATTACACTTGGAGCTGGCTGAGCTGCAAGTCATTCGATAGGCACAAAACCCATCTTTCCTGCTTCCCTCTGCCAGCCCTCCATCCCAAAGAAACTCACTTTAATCTCATAAATCATGGGATAGAAGAAGTCGGGGCGCCAAGGGCGACCGCACATATCATAGCATTTAACATATTTCACTTAGGCAAACGCTTAATCCGGCATCTTGTCTGGCCCCAATCCTCCTGCCCTCCCTCCTACCTGGGCGCAGACAGCGCTTTGAATGCAAACGCGGAGGCTACATTTTCATTTCCGCTGGCGTTTTTATTTTTATTCCATGCTGCACGTTATCAAATAATGAATATCAAATGTAATGCTTATCATTATTTGCCAAGCCGAAACCGAACTGAGAGCTAGTAGCGGGGGAGTGGCCTCCGACTCCCGTCAGGTGGCAACATATTATAATATTTACTTAATTTTCATTTCTAATTCTGCGGCTCGCCCCTCCTCAGACATATGATATGGCTTCCCAGGACGAGGAGTGTTCCGAGACCTTGGCATTGGCAGGGGAGAAATAGGGAAAACCTGCATAATAAGCAAGTTTCGCATCCAAAATTCGCTGTTTGTGGGCCCAAAGTCAAGTGTTTGGGGAGACTGATTGGGCGGATGGCTAGATTGCTGGGGGGTGTTGATTCTGGCAGGTGGCTAAAGCTGCGTCTAAAGCGATAACGCAAAGTATTTGAATTTTTAATATAACAAAATGCGGATCTCAACGAACAAGGACCCCCATCCTCCGATTCATCCGCTTTTCATCCCACAGACATAGACGTAGTCAGAGAAAAGAAGGAGCTGCGGTGAATCCTAGATACCCTGCTCCTTGGCTCCCCATTATTTGGCAGAGCTGATGTATTCAAATACGATTCGTGGCCGCCATTTTCCTGTCACTGGCTGTGAAAATTCACAGCTTTTCCTCTTTTTCCGGGTTTTCTGGCTAATCTTTTGGTCAGCGAGCACCCATCTTGCCCCTCGGACGCCTGACGCCCTGTTTTCTATTCGCTTTTTGAAATTCCAATTTGAATGCTTCGTGGTTTGTTCCCTGCCAGTTGGACGACGGTCCCGGGCTAAGGACATCTTTCCCAGCAGCCAATATTATATTATTCAAGCCATCGCATTTGGCTGCCCCTGTCCTACCTCCACCGTCCACCGCCATCGCTCGTTGTACTTGAAAATCGTAATTAGAATTGGTAATGTATTCAAATTGACTTTCATTTCCGTTTGCTCGTCGGTTGGCTCGCTCGTTTGTTTTACTTTTGGCATTCTTCATCGGGATTTTTGCGCTTTTCGTAGATGACGCGCTTTCCGCTGGGGGATGGGAGATGAGAGTCGATTCTGCCATGATTATATCCGTCGATTCGAACTGTCCAATAGCAGGAATCGCAGGGAAGAAGTGATCAACTGGGCAGCCAGAAGGCCAGACAAAGGCACTTTCGATTATCGAATCGATGCGGGCTGATTCTCCAGACATATTTCAAAATCTCTGAACGTGAAACTTTTCCCTTTTCCCTTTTCCCGTGGCAGAGCGTGGCGGAAGAGCAAAGAAACTGAAACTTTTCGCTGGCAGGCGGAACGCAGTAAAACCGTAAAGAATTCAACTAATAAAAATCAGGCATTCAAGTGCGAAAAAATCGCGAAAAGCATCATCAAATAATGTGCCACTCAAACCGAATCGGCCGCCCTCCTCCGCTCCGCCCACGAAATCGCAGTTGAATCCACCGAAAGACAAATAGAAAAGCAAAGAAAAGTAAAAGGCAAGTTGAGAACAAAATAAAACTATGCTGGCAGCAGGGAGTGAAAACTTTGGCCCGTGATGGCAGCGTGAGGCAATGGGCCACCAACCATGATCCTCCGGTTGGATGAGCCGGGGTAAATCTTGTGCCACGGACGCATCTCTAGCTGCGGGCCAGGGCTATACGTCATCGGGAAAACTTCGATGGTTTTGGCCAGGAGCGCGAGTCTCTCCATTTTTCTTGTGGATCGGAATGGCCACATATTTTCGCTGCCACGAAGCGTGCGAGGTATTTCCCCCACGTGCGGATGTGGCTGCCTCTGTGTCTGCGCGGCGGAAAAGCAATTTTCCTTTGTGTCGTGCACAGGTTTCCAGTTGGCATTGTCTTCCGCTCGCCGCACTGAGCTGGCAAATTTGTTGCAACCGAAATAAACACTTTATTAAATGCATTGGAATAAGCGCAGCACTCGACGGAAGGGGCCGAGTGTAGGTCTCCACATGTGGCAGTGGCAGCGGAGGGATAAACTTTGAGCCAAGTGAATTTGGTGCTAAGCTCAAGTAAGAGATTCGATGCCAGCAAAAAGTGGATTGCTAATGCACTCGGAAAAGCTCTCGCAGGAAGTGAAATGGAATGGGCAGGGGGTAACACAGGACTTCGGAGGAATCTCCTTTAAGGCTCAAAAAGTCGCCACATAAATATCTCCGCCGAACAGGCAAAGGCCTTTACAGATTATTATTTATTTATTTTCCGTTTTCTTTGCATCCTGCCTTTTCCTTCCCCCCAGCTCACGACCCTGCCGCTCCGATAATCGAAGGCAAGAATCAAATTATGCTAGAATTGAGATTGATTTTTTATTCAATTTTAATGCGACAAATGCAGGCAGATAAACAGACGACAGCTCCGAGGACACACATGGCCCGAAGCCCCTGGCCCTGGCTCCGGCTTTGGCCCGAACTGGATCCATCCTCTGAATAAAAACACGTGGCCCGAAATGGGGGTGCTCGTGGGGCGGTGGCTGGGAAATTATAACGGCAATGGCACACAAGGGAGTCGCACTGGATTAGGTCGTCCTCCAGGCCAGGTCCTTATGGGAAACTTTTTGAATATTACAACATAAATCGATTAGCTTCTATCAGCCCGTGCTTCATCGTGTGTGGTGTCTGTGTTGCCACTGATTGACACTTGAAGCGTTTTTTTGCTTGCCTCGCTGGCTGATGTTTGCTGTTTGCTTTTGCTGATGCTGATGCTGATGCTGATGGTGATGGTGATGCTGCTCCAACTCCGACTCCGCCCGCATTCGCATCCGCATCTCCGAGGCCATTGATATGCGTCCCGAGCACTCAGCACTGAGGACTCCACTCCGTGCAACGTCGAGGCCAGGCTTCATCTAATAAGCACCCGTACATAACTCCACTCCCGAAAGAGCCCATCACTAGATATACAGTGTAGAGCGTACAGCTGGGCAAATTGGCTGGGTGGCTCTTTTATCAGGAGACGACCTCGATTTCCAGCATAAATTGAAAGGAAATTAAACATTGAGTGGAGGGGAAATGAGCGCTCTTTGAGCTGCAGCGGAAATTGTTATGTGATAATTGGGTATAGCGACGCTATCGATCCGCGACCCGATCCAGGACTTGGCCGCAATCTGGGCCAAAGGTGGCCCAACCATGGGAATCGAAATAATCTCCCTTCGGTGTTTGTCCAAGGGATTATCGCCTCTCCTGTTTGGGCACAAAATTACATTTCAATTTGGATCACTTCACATCATCGACGTACTGCCAACCAGTCAGCTAAATCTTCTGAGCAAATACTCAAAGCCTTAACCTCCGAACACACTGCAATTAGCGCTGGCATACACGTTCGCCAGGGTAAATATGACAGTTTTGCAGGGATTCCTCTAGGGGTGGGTCGAGTTTAAACGG